TATATATATATATATATATATATATATATATATATATAAGGCTGTCGACAATTCTTTTCCTGCTGTTCGCATATACTGTATGTCAAATGAAGAATCATGCTGTCGTGCTATGAGATGATGGGCCTAAAAGTTACAGAACTACTGCTACGTAGAAAATATCAGTTTTTGACGGAATAAATGTGCTACGCAGCTGATCGTCTAGCTTTACTATATTTCTCATGTTAAGTTCAACTATTCGTCCGCATGTAGGTGTCTTATACTAACGGACTACCAACATGGACCTTGGTCCATCTTCTGGATGACAGAGAATGGTACTATGTCTTCTTTCTAACAGTGACCGCTTTTTGAGTGGCCCATTTTTGGGGGTCACTATTGAGCTTCAAGTCACTTTCGGAATCATAAACCACGTTAGGACTCAATTTGTTTATTGCACTAAGTCACTTTGTTGTCTGCCACCTTAATCTGGGAAGAGCCAAAACACGAATTTTACATCCTGGTCTTTGTCGGAAGAAGGAAATCCCTCGAAAACGACTAGAATAGCCTTTGTTGGGAGTTGGGATGGTCTCTCAGAAGGTAACAGTTTCATGCAAAATCTCATGGGGTCGGAGTGGAGAAGTCCTTGCTGAGGATGTTCTCTCTTTGGAGAAGAGCTTGTTTGGAGTGAATTCACTGCATATACGTGTGTTCATAATCTATGTCACTGATGCCGATGGTGACGATGTGAAGACAATATTGTGCCTCAAAAATGCAGGCGAATTCAGTTGTATTCCTGGAATTGCTCTGCCGTGATCACTTGTACTATCGTCCGGCTGCGGGATTCCTCAGAAGGCGGCACGATAGACAGAAGTGCGGCGTACCAGACGGGTCTCGCCGCCGTCCATGGAGATATCATCTCCTAGCTGCCTGGCTTTGTCTAAATGGAAGCGAGCATACGTCATGCTGTAAAGAAGTGAACCTGTTAACCTCACATTCTGTTTTCTTTCGGAGGGTCTGTTGACGTCCTACTCGTTGCTTTCCTTCAGTCCCACGCTTATGTAATAAAAATATGCCAAGCCTTATGTATATTCCATCATTATCTATCCACATGCCATCTCAACCGAAGTCTACTGACTATCTTTTCTAATTTCAGTTCGTCTTCTAATCCCGTTCTTACCTGAAACCTCGTGTCTACCTGGTGTACACACGTGCTTTCACTTGTTGCACGATGTTAGCATTCTTTCAGCGAATTTTGGATTGGATAAGAAGCCTTTTTTGGAAAGAGGAGATGGAGTTGACATTGGTCGGCCTCCAGTATTCCGGAAAAACCACCTTTGTCAACGTTATTGCGGTAAATTGGATTTCAGTTGATTTATGCCATTCAGTCCGGACAATTCGTCGAAGACATGATTCCTACTGTCGGGTTCAACCTTCGGAAAGTAACGAAGGGAAACGTTACAATAAAGGTATAGCCAAGGTTTTGCAAGACTACTTATAGATGTGGGATATTGGGGGCCAACCACGGTTTCGCAGTATGTGGGAGCGTTATTGTCGAGGAGTAAATGCCATCATGTATGCCATCATGTCCCTAACTTCAGTGGCTTTGTTTCTTAGTTATATGGTGGATGCAGCTGACCATGACAAACTCGAAGCTTCTCGAAACGAGCTACACAGTCTACTAGATAAACCTCAGCTGTTGGGAATACCGGTTCTGGTACTCGGAAACAAGAAGGATCTTCCCAACGCACTCGCTGAGCATGAGTTGATTTCCGCCTTGAATCTTGGAGCAATTACAGATAGGGAAGTTTGTTGTTACTCGATTTCCTGTAAGGAGCAGGAAAACATTGGTAAGTGTTTTTCTCGAGTGATACACATTTCTCTATGGCCGCGACTGTTCTTGGTGGCTGAAATAGGATTTTATTAATTAGAGCTAACGCTCTCGTTACGCAGAATGATTCAGACAAGGAAATCATCGGTAACAGCCGTCCTACTGTTGAAGTGAATACCGTAGACTCGTGGTACATTGTTACTTCCTGAGCGAGATGGTCCAAGTGGTTAGAGCGCAGATTCATTGACCGGAAGGTCCCCGGCTCGAACCCGATCTTTGCTTCTCGACTTCCTCTGCCTCGGCTTGGGCAACCTAGCAGTATCCCAGCTCTCGTTCAACCTGCATTCTGAGTGAGTTAGTCACACTGCTCATCGGCCACTCGTAACCGAACGGTCAAATGTTCAAACTAGTAACCGGGAAATCGTGGATCCCAGACTCCCTGGAGTTTCGCGAGATGCGCACTGCTGATGATTTCCAATAAGGATGAAACAGCTGTACTGTGATTCTCGGCTTTTCAGGCTTCCTTTACAAGACGGTGTTCCCATTTAAATGGGAAGTGTGGATGTTTCGGCTGATAGGTAAGCTTAGGCGGAGGAAACTAAACTTATCGATCCATAATGTTACCAAGGTTCGTCGTCGCTGAACGGTGGGATCGGTGCACCTTTTCTTGGGGGCATTCTCTCTTGGTCGTGGTCGTATTCTCATTCAGAAGCGGTAGTTCATAATCAACTTGACAGCTATGCGAGGGTCAGGTTGGGAGTTACTCCTTTGTTTGTGGACTTTTAAGAGAAGTATCATGTGGGCTTACGCCCCAAGCTATTCTTCTGCTTTGCTTCTTGGAGTCCGTATTAATTTGATGTGTGTCTGCCTGTAGTTTGCCATTGTATCCTTATGGATACTGTGTGGTTTGTATGTGCTTCTGCTAGTCTGCTTTCCATTATTATGGACCCACCGTATTTCTCGCCCAACTGTTCGTAGCTCAATGATTGTTTATCGTGTTCAAGTAAACTCGGTTGAACTTGGGGTACATGTTGCACGACAAGTTCTTCATCACTCGAATATCAAAACGTATACTGTCATTATCGAGGCATTTTTAGAATCCACTCGGTAGACATGCATTTGGATGCTCTGATGCTCCAGTGATGCTGATTAAGCCCTCTTTCCAGATTACTGTTTTTGATTCTGTGAGTGCGGCAGCCCCCTTCTAGTTTCCAGAGACTGTAGTAGTATGATATACCTAATGCTCTAACGCTCTAAATATTTCATCCCACTGTACTCCGGGATCTACTTCGATTTTCCCCATACTGCTCAGTGTTGTGCATAGCCTTTCATCTAGGTTCTAAGAAAGGCATCTTCTGTTTATCACGACCTACATTTCTGACCAACTCGTTTTTATCATACTATAGTCACATGCTTGTTTGAACATGTCTGTGGAAACACTGATTACTCTGTTCGTGACTAGTATTCCCCCGTGGGATCGGATGTACCTCATCTATATTCATACAAGTGGGACATTGTTTTGGTATCCATTCAGAAGAAACTACCGGCCCATTCCAACTTAAGCTCCTTCACAGAGTTGGTAAATCCGAAATTACTAGTGTCTGTTGACTGTGCTTTGGAAAATACCGCGAGAAACGCCCATAAGACGTGCATCCAGTAAGGGTTTTCTTTCTGATTCAGTCCAGGATTTTTGTCCATTGAAGAGCAATCGATGGGCCATTTCTAGGTATCGGATTTTCATGGCGCCTTTCAGAATTGAATACCGATTCAGATTCAAATACACCGGACAAAGTAAACCACCTTATCTGCAAGCCAGCACTTTATCAATACCTGTCGCCCAATCGATCGGACGTCAGCTTGTATCGTTGTATTGAATCATCACAACTCGAATGTTTGGAAGCTTTTAAGACACGTGAAATCACCCAGTCAGTCTCCTCACTACGATATCAGTAAATTCATTTTAAGCTCAGAATCCTTTGAACGTAATGACGTCAAACGGCCTAACCAAAGTTGAACTGATTGTGTGTGTTTTGGGGCGTTTTTCTCTTTGGTTATTCGTACTGAAATGCCGATGCGAATTGCTGCATCTAGCACCACCCGTTTAGGTGACTAAAGGGATATAGGTGTCCATCAACGTGTTGCTATATTGTCTTGTTTTGCGTGCTTTTGTCTTGATCACATCGTATACTTAAATTCCAACTCAGATTAAGGACGCGTATTCCTGACCTTCGCAAGGTCTGAAATGCTGGCTATTTAGGACTAATCACCGGAGATCATAGGATCAAAGATTTTAGCTAGTATTTCGACTGTTTAGCTTTCCAATGAATGCTACTACGTTTTTGGTTAGCTGCTGACCCACATACTATCGTATGAAACACTAGCCCTCCATCATCATCATCCCTCCACTGAGATCCTAACGGCCGCCTTTAAACGACTCGACCTCAGATTCACTAGCTAGCACATGATAACCGTGCTGGTTGCTGGACAGTGTTTTCAACAATCTATCGAGAGTCGAATATGGATTCTCTCCCTCGTTCACTTCATAATGGTACACTTGAAAATACTATTAAAAAGTAAGCCTTTTCGGAAATGCTGGAGAGGGCTATTGCCCATAGACGAATATCGATGAAACTGCTTCATATGCCAAGAATACAGAGGTTTTTTGTTCTTGCGCAGGTTCTGGAGCAAGCTCATGCTTTTCCATTGCTCGAAGAGTAACGGCGATTTGCTAAACCCTTGGAAAAATCCAGTCCAGTATACCACACTATTATTCCAGTTATATTTTTGGTTCTTCAGCAGTGAGCTGACAACTCTAGTAGCCCTAATATCGACATTCGGATAAGGAAGCAAGTTGCATATGAGACTGAAAATAGACAAAGGTAGTGAACGGAGCTTACTTCCTGTGATTGATCTTCTAATCTTATACTTCGCGAATATGTACGACACTAGTCCGAAATCACGTGTGCTATGAAGTCCGTTAACATGCACGAATGTATAAAGAAGGGAGCGATGCAGGGCTCAGTGAATCGCGGAGTCAGGTTGTCAGTTCGACTGGGTCGTGCAATTATAATAGTTCACAGACTAACATGAACCCAAAGGTTGCGCAAGTTTAGTTTAAATAAAGAGATGCTGCCCGCCGTGAGGCGCGGTTCGTCTCCTGTCCGGTATGGGATTCGAGAAGCACGTGCTTCCTTCGGTCAGACCTGGGACAAGTACTCTTGAAACGGAATTTCAACAGTCACTAGGTAAAAATGGATTTTGACAGCCAATCCCGTCCCGTAACATCCTAGTCGCATATGCTCGATACGAGCCTGCAAATGACTGCAGATATATCTGATGGTGGCCAGTGGAAGTTTATCTTTCAAAATGATTCTGACAGCTGACTTGGAACTGCAGCTTAATCACAGATTACCGAACATTTATGCCATGTCAGCACAACCGTTTGGTCCTCTGTTAACTCTGCATTATGGCTTCCTTTGCATGTATGCTTCACATTACATGCTGCTTAGCTCTGTTTTGTTGACTGTAGGGCGTGCATGAGTACGTACCATTCTAGTGTCCGCTTTGCATGAATATGTACCATGCGACTGCAACAAAAATGAAACCTAATAAGATACTTGGCTGACAGAGCGATGAAGGTATGTTCACCTGACTGCCTATAGGATGGCCTCAAATTTCGCGAGACAGACGTCCGTAATAACCACACTGAAAACTGCTGTCTACGAGGTAGGACGAAGCAGCGCATGCTGAGAAAAAACGTGGAAATCCGGGTCAAAATAACACATGACTTCACTCAGGAATTGGTACAAACCAACGGTCATGTCTAATCAATTTTGAAGCCGTGTATTTGATGATTGGTGTCAAAGTGACGCAGATCACTTATCAGTTTATCGATCGTTCCACCTATCAGGAACGCCCCCTAAAGAATAGCTTTTGCTACATACAGATCACACTGAACTATTCGACCAGACTGACCATTTTTATGTATCGAATTGCGAATATGCTGATCATATGCTCTACCGTCCCAATCAGGTTTTTTATAATTTTTTGATTGTTATGCTGATTGTACGACTACCACAGTCTTCAGAACATAAACAAGTGATGGATTGCTTTGTCGGAAGCCGTATAATGTTTCAATAGCGGTTGAATGTAAATAACCTTGTTAGCGACCGTTATCTTCTGCCTTACTGTGGTAATGTGCTTCGTCTACCATACATGTGGCCTTATCTGAGCGGGGTTTCTGTCACCAACCATTGCATCCTTCAGGTGATCTCAGAGGGTAGTCATCAAAAAACACCCTCAGGTCAAAAAGTTTTGAGGGGTGAAACCGGTCATTAGTGCACCGTGAGCTCCTAATGTTTTGTTCCCGGAACTCTGTGTTGGAAGACTTACTTCACTCCGAGAAAATCCCCGTTTATTAACGCAGAACCATGAGTATTTATCAGAGCGCATAGTATTGTTCGGCGCTTTGTGCATGCTTCATTGTATGTTCAAATATGATCGGTCTCTTTTGGTCTGAGTGGCTTTGTGGCACTTGGGATTCGACTTTGTTCCGTCGAATTCGTTGGTTATCGTAACTTGCTTTATTGGCTACTTCGTAAGCGAAACCCGAACTCGCCTGCAGCGAACAGATCCATTGATTAGTCGGAGAGTGGTTTCTCACATTCGTCCCACTGTTGGCTGATGGTGTCTTCAGCCTGTGGACCACTACCCTCACCTAGTTTCCTTGTTGTCGGGTAACTCCATAACCTCATTTATTCGAATTCATGCCTATTACATTTGTTCAAAGTAAGCTCGCAGTCATTTAAATAACCTTTTTAGTAATCACTATTTCTCTGACGTTCCATGGCATTGTCTCCCTCAACGCCCTAACCGTATGCCTGTTACCATATGGTTGATTTTGACCTCAACCGCTGTAGACCGTTACCACTGTCCACGGGGTCGGATTGAGTTTACTGTGGGAAGAAATAGGTAAAGTGTTACGTGATTTCCATGTCACCTGCCCGAGTTAACCTGTAACGTTTAATTGACGGGCCGCAGCAGTTGCAAACACCAACGTCCCCGTAGGACAGCGTGACCGATTTGAGTTTGCCGCGAACTCCTTTCGCTTGATACTCCCCATCGGGCGTGAAATGGCGAAGCTGTTACTTCCGACACCCGCAGTCGCCCACATGTCTACGATTATAGAGGAATGAATTCAGTGGCTCACAAGAGAAACCGCATTTGATGAACTTTGGTGATAGTCTACGCATCTAGTTGGTGAGTAATCATCAGCTGGCTCTTGTGGGGAACAGTCCAACCTGCGGACATACTTCAGCGTACAAAGTATTTGCAGTTGAAGTCAGAAGGGAAGGGATAGATCAAAACAGAATAGAAGTACATCGTCTTGCTGGATAATCTTATTCCAACTGAAACCATACCAAAACTCGTGAATTTGAGATTAAATCCATGATTTTTCATCCAAATATGTACCTTCGTTTTTTGGCAGACTATACTTCCGAAATTCTGGGATGTATGAATTTAAGACGGGTTCATTCAGGAAAAAGCGATGACTTTTCAGTTTTGGTGGCCCAGAAAGCTCCTAAATATTGGTAGAAGGCGACCAGGCATGAGAAGAAAATTGAAGATTCCGTTGCATGTAAACCTAGCATGGTCGAGGCCTTCACTGCAATCAGCGGATCCCATTATGACTGATGGGCAGATGACGTCCTTGAACAGTACATAAATTGGCACATGCAAAGCAAAAAGCCTTACATCTATGGAGATAAGTTCCGAGCGCTAAAACACAATTCTACGAAATTCAATGCCTTCGTTCACCTCAGATCTTTTTAAAACGTTGCTGGAAGACTGGCTAATGGTAGTTTGTTGACTGATGGGGATTCTTTTCGAGGAGGGCATGGTATCGCTGCATTGTTTTTCTCCGAAAATTTCTGCTACTGGTGAAAGGAAGAAGGCCTTCGCCGCGGAGTTATTAGAAAATGCTAACTGAGCAGTTACAGACTATTGGACAGGGAAGCAATACTCTCACATGCATCTTGTTTACAAAAACTGAATATCCATTTTCTCTTTGAACGCGTCTTCCTGAATTTTCCTGGATATTCATTGAACGTTGCTCAAATCCGAGCAAATGCTACAAAGCGACTCCACAAATTCCGTAATAGATCTCACTTTTCAAGAGATGCAAAGTGGATTTATGGGAAAACATACTGCTCGCATGCCCCCCAATCAGTGGTATCACCGTTACACTGGTATACTATGGAAGTGGTGCTGTTTGTGTACTGGGGGGCGAAAATTCTATACAGGTGTTCAATTTATTGTATTCCATAAAGCCATTCTATCCTGTTGTATTATGTAAGGGATTGTCGAACGTATTTACAACTGTAGCGCCTCGTATCGTCCAGGACGTCTAAGGAACAGTTCAGGCTACGGTCAGTAGAACGGTTATAGCATCAATATGAAAGATGCCTGGCTACCTTTGGATACGATTTTGGATTGGAGACATGTATGTTGGTTTGCTAGTCAAGTCTTGCATGGGAGCTTGATTGACACAAAAATACTTGATTGCGTTTGTATCACACTGCCCTCCTCCAAAGCAGGCTTCTTATTTTACCAACCCTAGAAAGAACGTTAAATTCTCTACAGAATTATACACACGATCGGGAAAACCCTTTTATCTGCGTTGATAGGGACGTGAAGTCAAAATCGACCGCATAGTCGTTGTTCTACTGTTTGATCCGTAGGTCACATTTTCACATGTGTGGACGCAAGTATAAACATTGTGTTCACACAATTGTCATGTTTTTACTAACTCAGTTTATCGGAGTATTCTACTCAGCCTGCTACTTATAGGATGTTTGATTATCTGGAACGATCATATCGATTATTACAAGTGGTCCGGTGACGTCATCTTCCTTCAAATTTACTTTGCTAGACATCACGTTGCAATGGTTGAT